GCGTCCTGGACGGCAGGCGGAGGCGGCGCGGCCCGTGGCTGGGGCCGACCCGAGCCCGGGCGGAGTCTAGACCGCGGCGTGTCGGTGCGGCGCGTCCGCGCAGCCGGCGGTGCGGGAGGTGCCCGGGGAGCCGCCGGCGCGGAGGGGAGCGCTACCCGTCGCCCGGGCCCTGCCTGCACCGAGCGCACCAGGGGCCCATGACCCCGTGCCATGTGCGTGCAGGGGGACGCTTCTGAGCAGCCAGTGAGAAGAACAGAGGCCCTCAGCCCTGCAGATTTTAAATGCAGCGATTGAACCCAGTCTCACAGTTACTTCCAGAAATAACCAGACTCCTCCTCTCCTCCCCCCACCCCCCAGTAGTGTTTTACAGAGTGCGCACTGGGGTTTCATCACGTGCGTCCTCTCCTCTCTCCCTCCCGTTTCAGTTGTGATTTTGTAGAATTTCTGTTCAAAGCAGATTATCAGTTTCATGCCCCTATGACTACTGTTTATAAAATTACTTAGAAATAAAATTTTCTGAGGCGGAGATGCAGTTTCACGAGTGATCTGTTGAATAAGAGGAAGCGACATGACTGTTGGTTAGAAATGCCCTTTCCCCTTCTGCTTCAGAATTTGGAAGCCTATCACTTGTTCAAGTTCAGAGCCTTCATCACCATGTTTTCTACTTGTGTAGGATGGGATTGTTTGAAGGCAAAAAGCCATAACTCTTGTAGTTAGGAAAAATACAGTTTTGTTCTTATGTTAAAGGACTTGTAGAAGACACCAGTAACAGTATCTTGACTATTGGACTTTTGTATTGTATACTTGTGAATTCCTTTTCTCTCTCCCTACCATTTTATTCTCTGAGCTCACTAGTTTATTTGATTACAGATGTCAGTCATTTTCGTTGGTTTAGTAGGATTTTGTTTTTAATGATGACCGGTAAGGGGATCTTAACCCTTGACTTGGTGTTGTCAGTATCACGCTCTACCAAGTGAGCTAACCGGCCATCCCTATATAGGGATCCGAACCCGTGGCCTTGGTGTTATCAGCACCACACTCTCCCAAGTGAGCCACGGGCCGGCCCTAGTGAAGGATTTTTGATAGGTTCTGAAACCATGACACTGCTTTTGTGTGCTGTTCTCTGTACATCATTTGAAGAGCACAGCAGACAGTTAAAATATTTGTTTTTTTTTTAACTTCTTTTTCATCTCTATATTTATCAGAGAGTCCCACGGACTGGCTGGGTATACAGAAATGTCAAGAGGCCAGAGAGTGTATCAGATCACATGTATCGGATGGCAATTATGGCTATGGTGACCAAAGATGACCATCTTAACAAAGACCGGTAAGCTGAACGTTGATACTACTGAGGGTCTCTGGTCTGTGGGTTTGCACCACTTTTCATGACTATCAGATTCTTGGAGGTTAGTTTATAGGTCAAGATTATTGAGATTATTCAAGATTATCCAAAAATTATTTGAGGCAAATCATACGGATTCAGGATGTGGAAAGGAGTACTCTGTGATTGCTTCAGCTGTATACTGCAGTCCCAGTTTGCTGTTGGCAGGTGATGGAGCCTGCCTTGGTCTCAGAGGAGACATTAGAGTAATATTAGGGCCTTGAAGGTGAGTGTGTTATGTCTAAAATTTTATCATTGTGTTGGTATACTATGTGCTTTTATTTAGCCCCTTTTACGAATAGTAGCACTCATTTGTGAGGTGACTTTTTGGAGTTAAATGTGCAAGATATAGCTGAGAAAGAAGTATCCTCTCCCCCTTCAGCCAGTCAGCAGTGTTTAAAATGCTTTTTGAGCACAGGACAAAAGTTTACTAGCAATATAGACAGTAAATACATCCCAAATGAATTCATTTATAGAAGCCCAAAGTGGCTTCTATAAAAAGCACAAAATAAGTTATGGTAGAAAGTTAGCAAAGTATTCTAACAGTAGCAGAGATCCACTGTTCTTGGATGATCTTCATCAAGGAGGTGGAGTTTGAGTTGAGCTCTAAAGGGTTGACATTGGTAGAGAAGTAGAAGGCACAGCACTGACAGAAAGGCATAGAAACCAAAGCCCTGACGGTAGGAGAGTAAGGGAGTATTTTGGAAATGAGAAGTGAATCAATTTGATTGCAGCAAAGGCTTCATTAGGGAGTCTAAAGAGTCCTGTTACTCAGTAGATGGTGCGGAACTGGAGGAGAGTTTTGGCAAATATGTCGTACAAGACAAAAGTGAAGTCAAAGAGATGAGTTTAGTTGTCTGAGATTTGAACTGGAAGAGAGAGAAACTGGAGTCAGAGAAACTTAAGAGGAGGCTATTTGGCCTTGTACTGTCTTGGTAATAATGGAAATGTAAAACAGACTGGTCCTTTGGGGCATTTATCTCATTACTTACCTTTGTTATTTTGATGATTTTCATAATCACTAATCATTAATTACTAATAATCATAGCCATTTGTTGAATGATCAACATGTGCCAGGAACATAAATTATCAAATTTAATTTTCACACCAATCTTATGAAGTATTATTATCCCTTTTTACAGATAATAAGATGAAGGGTGGCAAAATTGAGCATTTAAAGAAATTAAATAACTTAGTAAAGGTCACACAGCTAATAAATATTGGTTGCTGGACTCAAACCCAGATCTGTCCAATTCTACCCAATACTCTATAAACAGCCTCATTTTGGCTTCTAACTATTACATTGGGTAAAATGATTGTTTCTGAATTTTGTGTCAGTAAATAAATGCTATAACCAGATCATCTCCTGGCTTTGTAATCTGAAGTTATCGACCTCTTAAAGTGAGACTGAGAAACCAGCCATCTAAAAACAATTTGTGCTAATGATTTCCCCTGCATTCTCATGCATTGTGTTGAGTATGAACTAGCAGTTTTGATTCATAACTGTTGTAGGCTGGCAGAATATAATTACTTTAGAAAATACAGCATTAAAATATTCTGTGAGGGTGGAGGAAAAAATATATTATGTAACTTCAAAATAATATAGAGAAAGAACTTTTAGTGAATATAATTCTGTGTAATTATTCAACATTTCTCGCCTGGTCAGATGTGTACGCCTAGCCCTGGTTCATGATATGGCAGAATGCATCGTTGGGGACATAGCACCAGCAGATAACATCCCCAAGGAAGAAAAACATAGGCGAGAAGAGGTCAGTGTTGACTGTTGACTCTGCAAAGGACCACCAGAAAAACCTGTTGCTCAAACAAAGTTAAGTTCATTAGACCTATTGCAGTAACGGAGAGCACCACCTTGACAGTCTTTGTAGTGTCTCAGGAAGGGGAAGGGAAGGGAAGGGTATTTTTAGAGTTTTAGGGCCTGGGCTGGAGAATATTAAGACAGATCTTACAGCATAGGCAAGTAACTGGGATTGCACAGAGTTTAGAACATGATAGCTTTGGATTGGTAGGAACAGTGAGAGAAGACTGTAAATCATCTCCAAGAGTAAGCTGTTAGTGCTAACTTTTAGGTGGTTTACAGTCTCATCTTCCAGAGTAGGGATTTTCTGGAGTAAGCAGCAAATTGGTTGTTGCTTATTCTCAGCCTTGTTTAACACAAGAATAGGAGTGTATACCTGTACCCCGCCTTGTTGAACCTAGGGACAGAAAATGATGTTGGTTTCATTTCTCATTAGAATGTGAACATAGATAGTATGCCTTTCATTACAACAATGGAAATAGCTGGAACTTAAGTGAAATTGTGGGAACTCTCCATGCTAGTTAAGCTCTAAAGAGAAGAGTTCTATAAATAACAAGTATAATCATTATTATAATTATTATTTAGTAAATTTGAAGTTAGTCATTTAACTCAGTGATTAAAAGTAAAGAAAAAAATATTTGTATTGGTAAGAAAGGAATAACATTAACAAAATATTAAATCAATGTCAACTTGGGCTCTAAACCCAGAGCCCAGAGCCAAAGAAGAAGACAGAGGAATATCCAGGAAGGCTATTTCTTAGTGCTGGATGGCTAGTTCCTAATTCAAGGATTATTGTGAGTTAATTTAATTGCATGCCCGAAAAATTGGTCCTAAATTGCTGAGCAGAGGGAGTCTTTATTGAGGTGGTTTAGCAAGGCAGGTGGGTGTAAATGGATATTCTCCAAGCTGGGGAGACTGGAGCTCAGTAGCCAATAGGATTTTTGCACCTCTGGAGGCAAGAAAAGCCACAAGGAATGACAGTCTCAATTTAGGAGTTCCAGCCCACCCAAAAATATGGGCACAGGGGAATAGTGTAAGGAATGTGTTTTTTCCACTGAAATACAGGTCCAGAATCCAGACTGACCACCATGACAGAATGGGAGGAAGCTAAGAAAACCTTTCTCTATATGAATCTAGACTGCCGTTAATAAGGAATTCCTGGGTTGATTGGCAGAATTAATAACAAAAAAACCCCAATTAGCTCAAGATTCTGAGTTCAGAAAGGACTTGGCACCTGAACCAGAGGATGATGAGTAATGAAAAAAACTCCACAATTATATAGCTCGTTTCAGGATATGTGATAGTTTTATTCATGGTAAATCTGGACTTTGTAGAGGAGAAATGAGATACTGAAGTACCAGAGGGTCATCAAAGACTTTAAAGTGAGGAGGAGCCATGGAGAAAAAGGACACAGAAGAAAAAGAAAATTCAAACTGTCCCTCTGGAGGTGCACAGTGAATTTGAGATTTACTCCACAGAGGAGCAAGTCAGAACCTCCTGGAGAAGAACCAGAGTCAGCATGAGGGAGGAAAACCTGCTACTGTCCTGACAAGAGCTGAGTCCTAGCTCGTGACACCCTATGGAAGGGCACAGAGGGGGCCTGACCAATCGGAGAGTACTGCTGTCTTCCCGGATGCTGTCTCCTGACTGTGATGAAAAACCTTTTTGGCCTCATTAGTCTCCTGGCAGCTGCCAACTCCTGCTTATTCATAGGGGAATAAATATCATAAGCAGAAGGGACCAGGGAACATCTTAAAGAACCACAAGTTCTTGGACAAGAAACCAAAGGCTTGGAGACAGCTAATATTTCATTGCCTCTTGCTGCTGCTGGTCAGGATTTGGGAACAGAGAGGAAGATCTAGGAGGTGAACAATTCTTTATGCAGATGGTGTTTATGAACAAGAGTTGGATATCTGAATCATGCATTAAGATAATTAAATGAGGGTTTCTTGGCTGAAGTGGAACTCAAATAATGAGAAGCAGGAAGCATCATTTGCCCAGGGCATTCCAAATGGATCAACAAGGCTTTAAGCTGAAGTAGAAGGGAGGAGAAATACTGCTTGATTAACCTGAAAGGATAATTGTTTTGGAGGAAAGTAGGTATCAAGATTAAAAGTAGAATTGAGGGCATAGAAGAAAAAATTTATGAAGGAGACCAAAAGCCATACTTGTAGGCTGGTCCCCTTTCTCTCTTTTTTTTTTTTTTTCTTTTCCCTGCCCTGCCCACCTGGTCCTCCTTTTTTTTTTTTTAGCATGATAACATAACTTTATGTTATAGTGCAAATTGGTAAATGATGCCTGATAGGAATCATTGAGATCTAGTGGGATGGAACTTGAGGTTGGAATACAGCAGTATCAGGTTATGTTCCTTTGTAAAGGAAAAACCTTATTAAAACAGAAGGCAGAGTTATGGTATGTATGTATCTGTGAGGGTTACAGTTGCTAAAAAACTGAGAAGTGAAAAGAAGAATGGAACTTTATCATGGGCGTGAACATGGCAAGGTATAGACAATGAAAAATACAGCAGACATTTATAGAGTACTTATTATTTGCCAGTTAATAAGCACTTTATATTTTAACTACTTAATCCTCACAGTCCTCTTCAGTAGGTACCATTATTTAACCTCATTTTATAGATGGGAAACTTGAGGGACAGTGAGGTTAAGTAACTTGTTTAAGGTTTCACAGCTAGTAAATGGTGAGCTAGGCTTCAAACCCAATCTGGAGTCTTCAGTTGACTAATTGGTGACTTCAGACTCACCAGTGTGTGAATGACAAATGATGTTTTCCGGATGCCTGTCACAAAACTGACATGAGATTTGCCGAAAGCTCAGAACTTTAGGCAAATTCTTGACATATTTTGCTAACAGAGGAAGAGGCTAGGTAAGTTGTCACTCTGAATCTATTTCTGAACAAGGTGAAACTTAGCTTAGAAGTGGGAGAGTAGTGGCAGGCTCATGGCCAGGGAGGGAAAGTCTGGCATATTCAGCCATGTCCCTGGACTTTAGTGAAGTTGATTTCAGAAGCTTCATGTGATAAGGTAGGCATGATTCTGTGGCATATGCTGCCAAACAAAGAATATTAACTGTCTAAGAAGTCTTGAAAATGCAGTTCTGATTGTATAATAACAACTTAACGTCAATTAGCTTAGATCCAGAAAATCACTGCTCAGTTTTAGGAAGAGAGGAACAACATGTTTGTTTGCTGTCTGCTTTGTTTTTCAAAGAACAGGGTGATTTTCAACAATTAATGTCAATAATTGGATGTGACTGCCAAAAAGCCAAGTCAGACTTGGGCTGCATTTACAGGAACATAGCATCTAGCATGAGGGAGGTGACAATTCCATTCTGTTCCACCTTGGTCAGACCCTACATAAATCACAGTATTCCGTGCTGGGTGCATCACTTTAAAGGGAATAAAATAGTTTCCCGTCAAAATAGAACTTGTGTGTTTGTATTCTAAAAGTTTAGATTTTGTTCTGTGTGTATACACATGTTATTCTGTTCATTCTTTTCAAACAAAAGGAACAGGCAAACTTGTGTTTCTGGAATACTTTAGAGAAAGGCAATCTATTTATACAGACATCTTTAACTTGTGAAAATACAAAGTATTTTTTAAAGTATTTTTGCTGAAATTTGGGAAAAGGAACAAGGAAGAATGCAGGTACAGATGCAATAAATTCCGTGCAACTAAGGGTGGTATGATGCTACAGCTCTATTTTTGAACAAGCCATTCAGGATGGTGATGTTACTTGTAAGAGCAGATTGTTGACACCGGACTGGCAACTATGATTAACTCTGGAAGTGACTGTATTCTATAACATTTTTTTCCTCTTAGTAATAAATAAACATACACACAAATACCCATTTTTCTATTGCTTTTTCTCAACTCACTATTTCATTTTATCTGAGACCTTTATGTTGCCAAAAATGGTTCTTACAAGCCTATTCTTTTCAAGGAGCCTCACTGCTGTGGTTAGAAGAACTAAAGCAGATTAAAAGGTAGGCTGGGGGTGGTGAAGGAATTTAAAGCCATTTGAAAGTAAGTTTCCTGCAAAACACGACATTTAAGGATACTGGAGCCACTCAAATCAAGGAAGAGCAGGGGAATAAGGGTAGCTTCTTGGACCTTGGAGACCAGAAATAAGTACCGAAAACCTCCACTCTCTCATTCTGTCGTCTGCTTTTCTTTGGATTTTGGCTCTCAGGCTTCTCCTCATGGCAGGGCATGTGGCTTCTGTCTCCCAGTCTCTGCTGGACAGATCATTCAGATAGCCCCTGGGAGGCCTGGATCAATCACTGTGCTCACAGAGATTCTGGCTCAGCTGGGTCACTGCCCACCTGTTTGACCTTATGTTTGTGAGTGAGAGAGGAAAGCAGGGAGGATGGGGCCTGGCATGGTGGAAGACAGACAATTTTCAGCTTCATGTAAGAAAGCTCTTTCTGTCAGCGCTGCCTAAAGCCCATGTGGGCAGCCTCTTGAAGTGCTAGTTTCTCTACCACTGGACACATTTGTGGTGAGAGGACCCAAGTGTTCTGTGATGCTCTTGAAGGATTTAGATGCTACATAGATGGTTTGGCTAATTGCCCTTTAATATCCCTTTTCAGCCTGTGAGTCTATGAACCTACAAAATTCTATTATGCAGCTTCCTTTATGTTAATGACAATAAATAATTGCCCATTTGTGTAGTACTATAAATTTTGCAATAAAACATTAACAGTAGAAAATGAATATAATAATGTGCAAAAAAAGTTTTTGAGCTTTATAATTCAGTGTTGCTTTCCCAATCTTCTCACTCTTTGGTTTGTTTTGAACTCTAGTATGCTTGTGATTGAAATTTACATGTGTATGTTGTGATTCATCCACAAGATGTAAAATCCTTGAACTCACTTCCGATATTTCTATAATTGTCTCATGCCCTCCTCATTGTCCTTTTTTGTGTCTGGTGTGCTGCAAATCACAAAATAAGTGCTAAGTGAAGCCCATACGAATAAATGCTCTTACTTATTTAATGTATATAACTGTCTTCCTTGCAAGCTGTAAATATCATCTAATATAGGCCAATTTATTTGGGAGTTATTTGTAAAAGTCTGAGCTTTGTAGACTAGTTGTTAACTAGTTGTTAATTTGGATAAATGTGAGCATAATTAAAATAATGGTTTGATATTTCAGGAAGCTATGAAGCAGTTAACCCAGCTCCTACCAGAGGACCTCAGAAAGGAGCTCTGTGAACTTTGGGAAGTAAGTATATATGATGGGTTACTTTTTATTTATTGTAACCGAATTTATATGGCTCATCGATGTTGTAGTTGACTTACATTATCTTAACAAACTGTCTCTAACATCTTACTATCTAGTTTGTGTCTGTTTCTCACCTCCCAGCTGCTGCAGAACTTTCTCAAGGCTGATAGGAATCCAAATACCCCATTTCCTGTGCCACCACAATGCCTTGTACAGATCTTGAGTCACATCCCTGCTGCCCTGCCCACAACCCCACTCCCCACCCCTCATTTCTAGACCTTGAAGAGAACATGGACTTTGGAGTAGCTGGGGTTGAATCCCTCCCCACCACTTCCTGGTTCTGTGACCTTGGGCATGGACCCCTCGCTGAGTCTGTTGTCCACCTCTATAACCTCGAAGGGTTGTTGGGCTGAGCGAGGTCAAGGTGAAGTGCTGCTGTGATGCCTGGCACAGAACAAGGCACAACCAGTGCTCACTCCCTTCCCATTGCTTCCTTCTCCCAGTTTTCCATTCGTGTAGAGAAATCTCCCTTCCTACCTCAGTTTCTCACTTCCATCTGGTCCACACTGGACCTCCTTGCTTGAGCCCCTAGAACCACTCTTACTCTTGGATAGACCTACTCCCATGCTCACCTATCACATTTCCTTCAAAGCCCTAACTCACTCCTGTCTTCAGAGCCCGATCTTTTACCTTCTCTTTGCACATCCTTAGGCCCCCACCAGGCCTTGCCTCTTCCCGAGCCTCAAAGCTGGCAGAGTTCTCTTTCCCACTGCTCTATGTGCTGGGTCAGGTCTTTCCTTGCCTTGGGAGGGGGATGGGAAGGGCCTGGGGTTGAACCTCAAATAGATATTTCTCCTAGAAGTCCCATGCTATGCAGCATTAGATTCTGTAGTGCACTGTTACTTCTGTGGTTTGGCTTGATTATGGTGTGAAATAGCCCCTTTAAGGCAGTGGTGTGTGGTGCAGAGACCAGGGCCTTACAGCCAGAGAGATGTTGGTTTGAGTTCCAACTCCTGTCTACACAGCCAGGGGTGGGTTACTCGACTCTAGGTAACCTCAGTTTCTCTAGAAAATGAGTCATATAGGTCCACATGCCCTTATCCACAATTATGAAATTCAGAAAGCCCAGAGAACCAGTTTTTAAAAAACTCGACCTGCCCTGAACTCATTTGGCAGCAAAATCTTACCTGAACTAACATGAGGCTAAGTAGTGTCCTCATTCACCCGCCTTGGTGTGAAAATTAATATGCTTTGATGGAGAAATACTCATCTGTTTGGTAACTGAGTGCTGCCCCAGACCTCACTAGAGATATATTCCATAGTAGACACTATATGTACCATATTGTTTTTCTAAAATAAGAAAATGCTGAAATGCTGAATTCTGAAACAATTCTGGCCCCAGGATTTCAGACAACAGATTTTGGGCCTTTAATACCCACCTTATTGAATGATTATGAGAATTAAATCTAGCAAAGTATATGTAGTATCTGGCCAGGAGCCTGGCACAGTTGTATCTGTTACTAGGTAAGACAGAGTTTCTTTAGGAAAAAGTGTCCCTTGTCTCCAAGTATGTACTTTCTTTTCTTTTTTAAAAAAATTTAATTGAATTTTATCAATATACAGTGTGGTTGATTTTCATGTCCCTTTACCGAATCCTCCCTCCCCCTCCCTCTCCCCCCTCCATCAACATCGTATCCATTCGCTTATCTTTTTTTTTTTCCTTTTTTTGTCTTTTTTACTGACCGGCAACGGGATCGCAACCCTCAGTGTTGCGCCCGCACCGCGCTCAGCCAGTGAGCGGCAACCGGTCTCCACATGGGATCCGAACCCTCGGCAGGAGCGCCACCGCGCTCCCAAGTGGCGCACTCTCCAGTGCGCCACCGGGCCGGCCCATTCGCTTATCTTAACAAGTTCAAGTAATTATGATTGTTGTGTCTTCTTCCCCACCCCCCTGTTTGTGTATTTATTTATTTATTTTTAGCTCCCCAAATAAGTGAGAACATGTGGTATTTCTCTTTCTGTGCCTGACTTGTTTCATTTCATATAATTTTTTCTAAGTCCATCCATATTCCTGTGAATGGTATTTCATTCTTTTTATAACAGAATAGTATTCCATTGTGTAGATACACCACAGTTTCCTTATTCACTCATCTGATGATGGACATTTGGGCTGGTTCCAACTCTTGGCTGTTGTAAATAGTGCTGCAATAAACATTAGAGTACAGGTATCCCTTTGACATGATGATTTCCATTCCTCTGGGTATATTCCCAGCAGTGGAATAGCTGGATCATATGGTAGATCTATCTGTAATTGTTTCCAAGTATGTACTTTCAAGTGAACCTTTGGAACACTCTTTATAAGTTGGTGAATAACAGAATGGAGTTAGGTTGCAGCTCATACATAAAAAGAAAAAAAAAAAACCTGTCACTTGAGTTTATGAAAGTAATCCCATGTGTCGTCTCATAAGGATGAGACACCCTCATAATTTGAAAACCTTTTACAGGAATTTTTACTCTTGTGCCCCCTAATTATTGTAAACACAGTGACAGTATCTATTAAATTCGTTTTTTAGTTAGTTTATTAGCAACTGGCTAAAAATTTTAATATAAAATCCACTTGAATTAAGACAGTACCTTCCAAAGAGAACACTGCAACATATTAATTGGGACTTGTGGTTGTGTGACATATGTCATGCTCTAAGAAGCAGACCTCCTGGTGGTTCTTGTTTCAGGTCTGCATTGGATTTGGATAAATATAAAATACAGAGAATTAAAACACTTGATAACTTCCAAACAGGTGACAACTGGAATTAATAAAGCTGTTTAAAGAAGATTTCTCTCTAAAACCCCTGGAGGGTCCTTCCTTCCTCTTTCTAGCTTTTGGTGGTTGCAGTCCTTCGCATTCCTTGGCTCGTAGGTGCATCACTCCGCTTCTCGTAGTCACATGGTGTTCTCCCTGTGTCAGTATCTCCAAATTTCCCTCTGTTGGGTTAGGGTCCACCCTAATCCAATAGGACCAAGTTTTAACTTGATTGCTTCTGCAGAGATTGACTTTCCAAATAAGGCCATATTTACAGGTCCCAGGTAGACGTGAGTATTTCAGTACACTATTGAACACAGCACAGGGATAATAGTTGATGCATCTTATAATTCATGTCCAGTGTTCGTACGTGGGATTAGTATCAGACTTCCAGGATTCAAATACCAGCTCCCCTGTTTAGTAGCTATGGGTTACAGTCGCCTGTAGTATTCATACAGTAACATGCTGTGCAGATATTTATTTAATGTGCATTTTCAGTGTATACTTTCAAATCATTTTTTGATTTGAAGAAAATTTTCTTACAGTTTTTCCTTTTGCTTTGGTTTTCTTTTGGGGGGGACTCCTCTATATTTGTATGTTGTTTCTCCTTTGCTTATCTTCAATACTTGTCATCTTCTCTCAAGTCCTTTATATCTTCATTTCTTTTTGACTTTTAAACTTAACCTCCTTTTCAAATTTCTATTTCTATTAAGGCATTAGTAATCATGTTTAATTACCCTTGTGTTCTTTATTGCTTAGCCTGAATTTCCAAAATGACCTCTTCTTTAATTCTTATGTTGTTCTTTTCTAGTTTTATATCATTTTCTTAGCTGTTTGTGAAGTAGTTTGTCGTAGATTTGATCTTTTTTTTTTTTTTCTGTTTGAGTATTTCTGATGTGAATTGTCTGTGGAGATATTATTTTGCTCCTTATTCTCTTTATTTCATGGTAAGTTTGTGTGGGATCTGAGCTCTGTGCTTTTCTGTTGCTCATTTTGATGTGCAATCAATTTTCCTAAACTTTGGGAAAGAGCTTGGTTCAGACTGCTCTTTTTTTTTTTTTTTTTTGGTTTCTTCATTTTTATTTATTTGTTTTTAGTTAACAAATAAAAATTGTATATATATGAGAGTACTTTAAAAAATTCGTGGAAAGATTTGTATTGTCTTTCAATTCTGTTTTTCCACAAACTTTTTGAACTACCCTTGTATTTATAGTTTACAACATGATGTTAATTAACATATGCATTACCTCACAAACATCATTTTTTGTGATGAGTGCAGATTGTTTTTCTAACTTCACAGAGCTTCCTCTTCTGTTTTTTTTTTTTTTGTTGTTGTTGTTGTTTTGAATGTAGTGTAAAAAAAATACAGTGGCTTGCTTTTAAAGATTTCCTGGCTTTCTTCCCCTTTCCCATTTTTATGTGGGTCTTGTCTATTCTTTGTCTCTGTTATCCTTATCCCACTCAATTTTGGTTCTTTTCCTCTCAGTTTCTCCTCATGCAGGGCCCTGTCCTGGGAGGGAACCCACCAGGTCAGATGGGAGAATTCCCGAGGGCTGGGCCACCCTTACTGTAAGCTCCTTGTGCTCATCCACTATTAAAGTGAACAAGATCCCTCCCAGTGTTGGCCACTGTTCTTAAAACTTAAGAATTCTAGGGACCTCCTGTTGGCTCTTTTGAGATTCTCCTGTCTCAGGGTCTGTCAGACATCCTGCTGCTCCCAGGCAGATGCTGATCGTGCAGAGCTTGTGGCTAGAGGTGGTTTGTCCCTATTTGTGTCTATTTTGAGTCTTGTGGGAATGTCATGTTTCTTAGTTTTGTTGTAAATGTTATCTATGAGGTTTTGATTTTGGTATTTCTTTGCTCTATCAGTTTTTTATCTGGTTCTTCTCCTTCGTTCCCTATTTTACCATCTACCTCGTTACTCAAGCCAGAAACTAGGAAGTCATTTTCAACTTTACCTCTCATTTGCTTTCATATTTTAGTTCACGTTTTCATCCTTAACATTTCTTGAATCTTCCTATTTCTACCCATCCTCACTGCCACAGTCTTAGACCAGATTCTCAAATTTTCTCTGCTAGTACTACAGAGTCCTGGAACCTGATTTCTTGGCTTATAGTTTAATTATTATCCACACTGTAGTTACAGTGATTTTTCTGAAATGCAAATCTGAACATGACTCTTCCTGCTTGAAACCCAGTAATGCCCAGTAATCAGTGATGTTCAGTAGCTGCAGAATGAGCTGAGACACCTTGGTGTAATGCACAAGGCCTTTCAGGAGCTGACTCTTGCCTCTGTCTTCAGCCTCTTCTCTCTTCTTCGTCTCTGCAGAAGTTGGTTCTATCACTAGGAAGTATTTGCAGTAATTTCTCCAAATGCCATGTGTCCTTCTCACCCCCAGAGCTTTGGCTGAAGTATTCTCCCTCCCCTGCCTTTTTATTAGAAAGTAAATTTGGAGAATGCCTATACCATTTTATTTTTTGAGGGAAAAATCCAACAATTTATATTTCTCTAAAGAAATCTGTAAGTTCACTAGAATTTGTTATAAAATGTATTATATTTCTTAATGGTCTTGAAATCTTTTTGTCACTTTCAACCTCCCTAGACTGCTATGCTTGGAGTATTCCATTTCCTTTTGTTCAATCATGAACTTGAATTTATTAAATACAGCCATGAATGTGAATAAATACTTAAATAAAATGCAATTATTTTTAAGTACCTTTGAGATAAGGCAAAATGTATTTGGTTTCCTATTGAAATTATTCCCCTGTACAATTTTCAGCTCTACCAAAGCCAAATAGCTGCCTTTTTAAGAATAAGGCATCTAATAAAAACCGAGAAATCTTTCAGTGATTCATATCACGTCACCCTGCCAAGAAAGCATGACAGGTTTATTATTTGAACACATCTGGGGTGGAATTACAAACTAGGAGTTTGCAGGGAAACTAGTTGGGAACACTTTGGTCTTATTCGAAGAGTCGTTTTATATCATATTAATTGGGACTTGTGGTTGTGTGACATATGTCATGCTCTAAGAAGCAGACCTCCTGGTGGTTCTTGTTTCAGGTCTGCATTGAGGAGGGAGGGTGGATGGGAAGAGGAAAGGTGAAAAAGCTCTCCTGTCCCACCACCTTCATCAGCCCCTACCACCAACACATGCACACACATCAATGAGTATAAAGTGCACAGATCCTGACTGTATCAGTAGTCATAACCCACAGGGACTTAATTAAATCTACTATATGTGGAAGTAAGGACAGAAATTCCCAAGTAAAATAGTAACCAAAAGTAAATGGTAGAGCTAGAAATTCACTTAGAGAGGAAAAGGAGACATTAAGTGGAGAGGGAAATAAAAGTTTGAGAAGCATAAGATAAAATATAAGCTTAAAGTTAAAAAGATCTGAACTACTCGGGTGGATTAAAGAATAATATTGAAATGAAGACAGGATATTAAACAGGAAGGAAAGAGCTTGGAAGTATCTAAGATGACCAAATGAGACTTCCAAGGCGTCTGGTGGAATACTTGGGATGTTGAGCACATCCTTCTTGCATGGAGTCTGGGTGTTGAGCTGTGAAATCATAGGTGAAGCATCTCTGAAGGGTCCATATGCAGTGGGGAGATGTGGCCAGTGCACGTTGTGTTTTGACTTTGACTCTGATTTCACGTACCAGAATCAGAATTTTCCTGGAATGTCCTGTGAGGCAGCCCTAATGATGCTGCTCTAATTGTCCCCTTTCTTAGGAGTACGAGACCCAGTCTACTGCAGAAGCCAGATTTGTGAAGCAGCTGGACCAGTGTGAGATGATTCTTCAGGCCTCTGAGTATGAAGACCTTGAGAACAAACCCGGGAGACTACAAGACTTCTACGATTCCACAGCAGGTGCTCAGTGCTATTTTCAGCATGAATCCGTTTTCGTTTGGCCTACTCTTAGTACTCTTAGTGTGTTAGTGCAACCCACCGTTGGTACCTTCATGTGAGCCGTTCATGTGGAGCATCTTAAAAGAAAATGGTGTGGGGTTCCTGGTGAGAGGCAGGCCGGCTCAGGACAGCGTTGCTGTCCTGGAGTCATACACCGCTTCTGCCACCTACCAGCTGTGTGCCCTAGGCAGTCTCCTCACCTCTCGGCACCTGTGGCCTTATCTGAAAAATGGGGATAATAATACTCACCCAACTTAAGGAAAAGGCTGGTTTTGAGATTCACGAGAGAGAACTTGTGTGAGTGCTTTGTAACCTATAAGTACTTTACAGATGTAAGGTCATGTAAGGAGGTAGAAATAGAGATTTAAAACAGCTCAAGTCACCTTTGTCATTATAGAACTTCATAGCATAGCTCTAGAGTCAAACTGCTTGGGTTTGAATCCTGGTTCTGCCATGTACAAGCTGTGTAACCTCCAGTAAATTACTTAACCTCTCTGGGCCTTAGTTGCCTTATCTTTATAATGGAGATAATAATAGGATCTACTTTATAGAGTTGTTTGAGGGTGTAGTGGGTTAATTCGCAGGAAGTTCTTAGAACAGTACCTGGCAATGGGTGTCAGCTCTCTTTATTTTGATAGTTTCCTGAGTGAGAAGCTAAGCACATTGTATTAGTTACAGCTGCTGCTGTTCTTGTTGCTCCCTGAAGCAAAACTCTTTTCTGGCAGCTCTGCAGACTCAGCTCATCCTCGATCTTTCCTGAGAGTACTGCAAGGGATAGCCTTTCTCTGACCTCTTAGGACCCCCAAATGGCCTCACCAGATAGGAAGGTCTCAGCTCACAGACTACTCCAGAATTTAATTTGCATTAGAATGAAATTGATTCAGTTTTCCTTCCCTTTTTTCCAGCTCCAATTCCCCTGCTCTAGACAAGGCCCTCATTATTTCTGTATCAGACTGCTGCTGTAACCCCCTAACTTAACCTAACCTGCCCACAGGCTCGCTAGTTCATCCTGCATGTCTCAGTGTTCTCCTCCTTTGTTGATATGGGTGTCACCACATCTTCATTTGAAGAACTCCTGTGGTTTTCATTTTTCCAAAAAATGAAATCCTGACACTTTTGAGTGACCTAAGAATCCCTGCAGTCTAAGGCCACCCACCTCTCTGTGCTCCTTTCCTCATCCTCCCTATCAAAATTAAGTGTTCCCTTCTTTTTGCTCAATCTGTGCTTGGTCTAGAGCTTGCCATAGTGCCACAGTCTGACTTGCATTCTCCTTAATGATGTTCCTCTCTGGTTCTCTACCCAAAGCCCTACCTGCTTGCCCCCACCTGCTAAGCGTTTGAGGGTCAAAGGCAACCTTGTCTAATCTGTCTTTGATATAGAAGGTACTCAGACATGTTGACTTCAGTTAAATAGAATAATGCTATAAATCAGGAAACAGCAAACCATGGCCTAAGGGCCAAATTGGCCTGCTGCCTGTTTGTGTAAATAAAGTTTTATTGAAACACAGCTACATTCATTCTTTGTCTATACTGCCTTTGTGCTCTAATAGCAGAGCTGAGGAGTTGCAACAGAGATTATATAGCCCACAAAGCCTAAAATATTCACTGTCTGGCTCTTTACAGACAAGGTTTGCTGACCCATGTTAAAAGCAATGATTGGACTACAAGATAGCATATTTCACCAATAATGTAACTACAAGTCATTTTTTATGTGGTTCTTTGAATTTTACACACTGTTATCCTCTATTATAATACATTCACAGTGAAAAATAGAAAATGAAACATGAGAATACTAATAGAATCAAAAAATGTGTGAGCTGGAAGGGTCATCTAGTTTAAACTTCACATTTTAACTGAGGAATAAATTTGAGTCCAGAAAGATGGTGTTGCCTGCAGCCAAGGTGAGATTAAAATTTACTGCACTTTCACTCTGGTGCATTATACCTATTAAAATATTAATAAATAAAAATAATGTGTTAAAATATTAATACATAAAAACTAATAATGTTTTACTAATAAATAAAAATAATGGTTTCTTAGTAACTAGTGCGTGAAGAAACGTTTAATTAGATGTGAGGATGTATGTAGACTGCTTCTGTTATGAGGATTTTGAAGGGAACTTAAAGGCTTCAGTTTGATAACAGAATTTTATTTCTCTAACTCGCCCCACAGCTTAGTGCTGTCTTTTTGTGTTTTTGCTTTCTGAAACCTTGTGTGTTGAGGAACAGCACCAGGGCCATGGCTGGTGGGGATGGATGGAGAGAGAGTGGAAGATGAGCCCAGAGAAACAGCTCATGGGCTGAGGCATGCAGGGCTTTGCACACCAGCGATGAGACCCTCAGAGGATCTGCAGCCCGGCGGTGCTGTGATCTGACTGTGTTTTAAATGTGTCACTTGGGAGCAGGGAGACCCGTTGGGGGCTATTGCACTATCCAAGTGAGAAGCAATGGTGGGTTGGACCAGGGTGATAGTGGTAGGAGAAGTAAGAAATGGCCAGCTTCTGGATATCTTTTGAATAGAGTTGACAGGATTTACTGGGGGATTGCCTGTGGGGTGTTTGTGAGAGAAGTCCAAGGATTTTGGCTTGAACAAGTGGAAGAATGGAGTTGCGACTAGATGGGGAAGATGGAGAAGAATAGGTTTGGAGGAAGAAAGTCAGGGCTCCCACAAGCCAAGAGAAGAAAGTATTTCAAGAGAGAAAGAGTAGCCATCAAGTTTAGCACCATGTAGGTAATTGGGACCCTTGATAAGAGCAGTCGTGATGGAATGGGGGTAACAGAAGCCTGATTGGAGTGGGTTGAAGAGAGGGTGGGAAGAAAGAATGAGAGACAGTATTACTATCGTTTTGAGAATTTATGTAAAGGGAAGTGGACAAATGGGATTTAGGCTAAAAAGACATGCATGCTCAAGTGAGGGTGAGTTTGTAAGATGAGAGATAAGAAGGGCACGTTTATGTGCTGATAGAAATAATCAAGGGGACAAGGCGGGTCAGAATTGCTGGGATGGGGTCTCCTGCACAAGTGGAGAGCTGGTCTTGGGTGCAGGGACAGTTCATCCTCGAACTCCAGGGTGTGCCTCTAGCAGGAGGTGGCTTAGGTAAGGTGCAGGAGGATTTCTATAGGAAGGTGATCATGGAACTGAGAGGCCTGATTATTGGAAGGATCATCTGTGTGAGCATGAAATCCCCAAGAATTCTGATGGATAGTGTTAGTAGTAGAGAACCTGAGGCTGTAATTCTTTGCATAGAAAAGGAGCTGATTGCAAATGTGTGGCAACTGGGAGGGCAGTGAGTGGTATAGTCTGACAGTGTGACCTTTACCCAGGGGGGCTGAGTAGCAACAAGAGCAGGCGGGACGGGCCCAGACCCTACAGTAGGAGCCGTGTGAGAGAGAAAAGGGCCACTACACCAAGGGATGGCAGGGGAAGACGCCTTCTCAGGATGAGTTAAGGCAAGAAAAGGAAGGGAAGGGAACATTCAGAGAAGAGGTTGAGGATAGGGAATAAATGGAATAGAGTTTAATGCAGAATGAATAGTAAGCAGCAGAAGGCACAGGCAAGACAAGACAGTGAGGGGAGAGAGGAAGAGGGTTTAACAGTCCCCGCACTAGCCACCATCGGCCTAAGAGAGCTTGGTGCTTGGCTGCTGCTCATGGCAGAAATCGGGAAGGCTGAGGAGCAGGAGCCACAGCCCAGATCAGCCAGTCAGGTGAAGTATTTGCAAGAGAGATGTTTGCATTCTTGTTTACATCCTGGGATGGCCTGGACACCCTCCCATTGATCGTTCTACTTGTCACTGTGTATGTAGGTGCTCTGTCCCCCGTAACTGATGGCAGTGTGGGAGTGGGCAGATTGTTTTCAGCTCTCTGGGCTCTCACACCTGAGTTTTGCCATAGTTCCTGGCAGAAGCATTCTACTAGCTGCCTGGTGAAATTTCCTCTAGCTCTGACTAATTGATGGTTCCTTGCCTGATTTTCATCCTTATACTCAGTGGCACCTGGGGGGACAGAATAAATGCCAAGTGGTCCCCTTTGGCCACTTCCCAAGACCCAGAAACTTTTCCTCTTGCTTTGGATCAAAGTACGAGTCAGACCACAGAGTAGAGCCCCTGATGAGTCCTGGGATCAAGCTGGGGAAATGGACCTATTCTCCTGGCAATATGGCAATGTCTTTTTCTCCATCTTTTTGCTTTACAGGAAAATTCAGTCACCCTGAGATAGTCCAACTTGTTTCTGAACTTGAGGCGGAAAGAAACGCTAACATACGAGCTGCGGCCGCCAGTGAGCCGCGCCCCTGAGCCGCTCTCTACATTGCTGCACTCCTGTAACAGATGCTTTATTTTTCTGTTTCATGGCGTTATGTTTTACCACTGTTGGTCTGTTAATTTCCCCACATGTGAGTCTGTTTATTTTTAGTTGTCTGGACTTCAGCAAGAAATATGATGTAGTTTGGGCTCTAAAAGAAGCCACAGAACAGAAAACGACATGAAAATGCCGTGGATGAAGACTGGAGGGGGGAGAGGAAAGCCTTTTTAATGAACTAACTATATAAATATTAAACATCTAAAATTTTGGAATATTTATTGGAGATTTTTATTTTATTTTTTGGCAGCTGGCCAGTATAGGGATTGAACCCTGGACGTTGGTGTTACTAGCACCACGCTCTAAGTAACTGAGCTAACCAGCCAGCCCCTTAGAGATTTTAAATCATCTTATTCTGAATTAATAACCTACATCCCTCAAGACCCGATTCATTGAATGATAGAAAATTTAATTATTGTTGTTTTTAAGGACTGATTTTTAGCTGACTTAATAAGGATCCAGAAAAGAAAATGTATTAGTGCTGTAATATGTTCTGTCCCCAGATGAAATGCTGCCTTATTCAGATGATCGCTCTTTAGCCAGATTTTGAATTTCTCTGCACTCTGCTTCAGGCCCTGATCATAGACTTGTAAACCTGCTAACAGGATCCACCCCTCCCCTCAATATTTTTGGTTACTTGGGGATATAAACTGGGGTATACAACTTCAAGAGCCGCCGCCTCTGTGTATTTTTCCCTGTCTGGTTTACAAAACTTGAGACCTTGATTATGAGAAAAGTTATCATCAGGTGAGAAATATATAATAGAGTATGGCTGGGGGTCACTGAGCCTTAGGTAGGGAATGCATCGATGCGGTTTCTTCCCCTCATTTCCCTTTCATAGGATAAGTAATCCATGCCTGCTTTCCTTTAAGCGATGCACAACCACTGAATAGTGCAAAAGTCCATCCATGCAAACCTGCCCAGTATTTTGGTGTGGAACACTGATGCCTGTCCCTTTAATTCAAATGTCAGTTTCCATTTGAAGAAGGCCTTTGAGGCTGGCATGGTGAAAATTCTAGGCAGCGTTTCTTTGGAAACTCTTTGCAGTATCCATGGATACCCAATCTGCAGGAAGCAAGGTGCATGATCTCTTCAGAAGCAACCCACATTTGTACATACAGTTGCTCTGTACTGAAAAGCAGAAAGAGTACAAAATCTGATTATTGTTGGATATGGTTAAGAGGAAAACAACTCCATCTATCAGTATCGTAGGGTTTTTTTCCTCCTGGCAAGAAAACATGCAAACAAAATAACCCTAGATAAAGTTCAAGTACTTATAACCAGAAGATTTTTTGTGGCTCTGGAGTTGTATTTTGAAAGTTTTGCCTGCTGTAATTTTCATAAATATCTAACACAGTTTGCAGAGACTTTGGAAGCTTCTACTGGTCAAACTTATTCTGGTCACTTGATCCTTATTTCAGTTCATCATCTACCTACCAAGTAGGGGTTCACAATTGGTCCTAAACCTTCCTTCCTGAGATAATGTTTTTTAAAAAAAGAAAGAAAAAATGTAATCATAAATAAAATCTCATTTAATAAGAACAAAATGAAGATCAATTAAAGACAGCTATTGAATCCACCAGCAGTATCTACAAATATTTGAGCATGGAAGATGCCCACTACTTTCCTGGAATTGGTCTTCTGAATAACGAACCCTGTAATTATCATGTACAGTAGATAATTATTTTTTGGCTTAAACTCAACAAAAAAGAATTCTTTGTTACTGTTTTTGCCTTGTGGAGTGGAATTTCACCAGCTATTACATAATTCTCAATGTCCTCTATTTGAAAAATGTCGATTCCTCTCAAAGCCTTTTGGTGGTGATATATACTCTAGGGTAAATGACTGATGAAGTGCTTTGCGAAAAAAGTATTCTTTTGTACTCAGCATTATAATTTAAGTAATTTGCTAGTCTTCATATTCAAAGGTGAAATGGGATGAATTCTATGGGAGACTTATGATTATGTTATTTTTGGTTTGACTCGATATATACCCTCTATGGTATGAACTAAAAGTAAAGTAGAAATGTAGCATAAAGAATTTTACCATTTTTAGATGATATCAAATGTAACCATAAGATTTTTCCAAATAGTGTCATAGTTTGAAATTATATTTGAATGCCAGGCTTGAAGAAGTTGTTTCACATTTTATATTAAATTGTTTTAAACCTTACCGCCCTTCCTTTATCACACCCTCTCTCACCCCAATTTAATACTTAGGTGAGAGGGGGGTGATGGGATTGAAGTTCAGTACTTCATGCACCATTTTATAGTGAAATTCCAACCATTTTCAAGCTGATAGGTAATTTGGAACAATGTACAGTGGCAGACGATTCCCAGTGTTCTGTCCATGTTAGCCACTGTCGATGACATGGCATATCAAGACATTCCCTACTAAAGCATGCAAATTGTTATATTTTCTATGGTTTGAGAGCAGATTTCTAAGAAAATGTGTAACTTAGAGTCAGATTCTTTTGCTGACATGACCTCCCAATAGTCGTAATCTTCAAGATGTGAGTTGTAAGAGAAAGTTGCACCATAAATTTACGAATATTTCCCACTATAGCAACAGTATTTTAAAAAATGGTAAATGGTTAACTTACAGAATGGCTTTCTTTTTTAAAAAGCCAGTTTATTTTGTAATCACAATTCATATTGGAATTTTTGATGATTGAAATATATCTTTTGTTGAGGTGTTGACCTGAAATCATTTTGATTTATTAGTAAAAGATTATGTCTATTTTGTGCAAATAGTTTTTAGTACTTGTGGAACACTTTAAACTACTGCATGTGAACTGAGCCTACCTGGACATAATTAAGAAACTCAGCAGCCAGTCAAATCGGAATGAGCTTGCACATACAAAGTAAGGGGGAAATAGGCAGCTCTTGAGTGGAGAGGTAGTGAGACGAAGACTGGGCTTACTACCTAGTCTAAGTAAGACTGCCCACCTGTCAACAACTGGTGGGCTGAGACTACCCACCTAGCAACCTATTTGATTATTCCAATCTGAGTGATGTGGTTTATATGCACACATCTTAATAACGAAATGAAAAAAGGCTACCCCTATGATGGCCATTATGAATATCACTCCTGGATCACAATGAATAAAGGCTTTTAGCCTTTACATTAATAAAGGTGATGTGAGTATGGTTTTTGCCAAACTGATGAATTTAGAATTTTGGTGAATGGTTTAATAAATATTTGTTTATAGTACCATAACTCTGCTTTATCTAGTATAATGCAGTGAATTGAATGCAGTAAAAAAGAAGGTGGCAGTGAGTTTACAAAAGCTGACCATTTCAGACTCACTGGGCAATGGCAGACTGGGCACAGAGAGACTGAGTACCTGTGAACCAGCACAGCCTATAAACCAGCTGGACAGTTGGCTTTTTGCCCAACAAGGCAGGCCATGACTTCATCCAGCGGGCTGGAAGGACAAATTCGGGAGAATGCCAACACCCCATCTGGCAGGGCTTCTTTGTCTACATTTGTCCACTCTGGTCAAGTTTACAGTCCCATTCCCTCTGCCAAGATTCTAGGCCTCAGAGGTTATATGGCTCTGAACCAGCCACGTTTTGATTTTCAGTTAGGTGCAAGGATTGTGCTCCTTTAATTTGAGTAGAATTTTTCAGGTTGGCTTTATTTCACTATGTCATATATATCTACTTCTGTTTAATAATAAATATAAATAATGAACAATTAAAATATTGATATACATATTATGTGGGCTTTTTAAATTGTGATTTTTTAGTTAGTGGGTCTACTCAGGGTGCATATCCCTGCTACCTAATAACAAATGTATGTTCCCATTTAGAAGAAGGAAAGAGAAGCATATAAGGTGGAAAGTAAAAGTTACTAGAGAAATCTGAGTGAATTAATAAAAACATAATTTATTTCCATCCATGTGAACAATCTGCAAACTGGAACAGCTTGCAGAACTCTACTTCTCCCATTTTCTAGCTATTACCTTTTCAAGTTATTCCTTACCTGAGTAACTACTACTCTATGCAGACTGGAGATAATTTTAGAATTGGAGATTATTTTAGTATCGTAGGGTAGCTGAGGTTATAATTACTTTCATATTCTCTCTCACATTCATCAAATTAGCAGAGATTTAAAATAACATCTGTAGAATATGAGCTACCAACTTTAAGGTTATTAATAGCCTTGAAGACTTAAAGAAATGAAGAATTCAGTCATCATTAAAATCAATCATTTTAATTGCTTAAATAACCATCCATTATTGATGTAGATGAGGGAGATCACAAGTAGTTTGATGACAGCTGCAGTAAGTCATCCTATTATTGCTGGAGACAGTCATGAAGAGCTCCATCCTGTTGATCTGAATGAACTGAGGGACTCAGTCTTCAGGGACATGCACATGGTAAAGGAGGCCAAGCAAAAATCAAAGCGAATAATAGCTACACGTTTGGAAAATAGACGTTGAAATACACAGACAAGAGTTGTGACCAACTGCATACCTGCTCAAGTTGGGACATTTTAAAAGATGACAATTTATGAATATGGAAGTGTGATGGTCAACTGGTCCATCATCAACACAAATACAAATGGAAATCATTTCATTAAACTTTCTGGAGAGGCCATTTGAATAACCACGTCAAGGCCTCGGTTTTCCCAGTTGGATTTTGGTCTTCATATCTGGATATGCGCGGGCGGCGATGGGCTGGGCAGTGGCCGGCTCGTGGGCGCTGCGACAGGCTGGCTGGACCTAGCACTGCAGCTCCTCCTCCTCGGCCCGCCGGGGGCCTCCCGCCGAGCTCTGGGCGCTGGCATGCGCCGTGGAGCTCAGGACCTCCTCAAAACTGCCTCCGCTGGGGTTCGTCCCGCCTACTTTCGTCTGAAATGGGCAGATATGCAAAAATGCAGTCAGGTCTGTCATCATTTTGGTAATGTATTTACAAGAATAACAAAGGCTTGATGAGATTCGAGTTCAGAAATTTTTTTTTTCTTTAGAGGCGATGTAAGGATGTAGGGAAGTTAGGTCCTGAGTTCTGGGATAGGATTCCAAACTTTTTATTTATTTTTGTTTTGTTTTATTTGTTTTGTTTCTCTTTTTGACGACTGGTCAGTCCAGGGATCTGAACCCTTTACCTTGGTGTTAAATACACCATGCTCTAACCAACTGAGATAACTGGCCAGCCCCCAAACTTTAATTTTGTATAATTTTAGCAATACTCTCTTTATCTCTTCCACATCTAAGAGTCTAATCCCCTCAGGAGCATAATCAGATCTGTGGACTGCATCCTCTACTCACTCACCCAGAGAACCGATTTACCAAAATGGAATTGGATTTTAGATTCATTCCCCCAATTTCACAAACACCCTTAAGTGACTTAAACATAGGTTTTCCTCTTGGGATTTAGCAGGGCAATCTGGATTTCTGACAAATGTCTCTTGAAAAGGCAGACTACTTCAATCGAACATGGCTTCTGGTCTCTGCTTTGAGAGTTGAAGATCAAGTCTTAAGCACTGTTAATTTCACTTCTTTCTAGGAAATAGCCTTTATTGTAAAAATGTCCCCTAAAATGCAAAGTTATGATGCTTTCTAAGACTCTCTTTTTGTGTTCTTCTTGTTGACTGAGAATAGAAATATTTAAAAAACAACTTGCAATTTAAAAATATGGCTAAGTGTTTTGAAAAATTCCTTATTAAAAAACCCTTCAAAAATATTTAATGGCCTAAAATGCTTAATGTGTCTTATTAATAGACACATTGACCTTCCCTTATTTATTCACAATGTGGGAAAACACTTTAAAGAAAAGGAAGATACAGAATAGATAATGTTGCTATTGCCAAACCTCACTGTCATCAAAGTGTTCACTCAGAGGCATAAGATCAACTCTGGGGGATGTGTCAGTGCCACCTGGTCTGCCCTTTTAAAAACTTAACCCAGGGTTAAAACCAGTTTGGTCATTACAAAACAAACATTTTTCTCCAGTTGTCACTAAAATCCCTCTCTGCCTCTTAAATTCAATTACTAAATTGAATTTTTCCACTTGACTTGGGGTAAGAAAACTCTCTTGTAAAGGACCAGATAGTAAATATTTTAGGCTTGGGAACTACATAGTCTCTTGTCGCAGATACTCAAATTAGCTGTTGTAGAAAACAGCCACAGACAAGGCATAAGTGAATGAGCATGTGTTTCAATAAGACTTTATGTATGGACACCAAAATGTGAATAGCATGTAATTCAATTTTCACATGTCACAAAATATTACTCTCATTTTGATTTTTTTTAACCATTAAAAAATGTAAAACCATTCTTAGCTTACAGATAATTCAAAATTAGGTGACTGACTAGATTTGGCCTACAGGCCTTCGCAGGTGGACGTCTGGCACTGAGCATTGATTCTGCCTCAGCTCTGTGTTATCAGCACTGGGTGGGGGTGGGGGTGCTTACAACTATGTGATATTTCACCATGCTTCTTTCTTTCTTGAGAGAAACAAATAAGATTAATTCAGTGTACTCTACTTTATTGATTGTTCTCATTCTCCTCTTTTTTTGTTTTCATTCACATTCTCTTTTGCTTCTGTTTTGCCCTAGAAGTAACACACGTGTCTGTTTTGAATGAAACAGAATTAAGTCAGGTGAATACCAATTACTGATGTTTTCTTCCAGGCTTTTGTTTCATTCTTCCCTCCTACTTCTTGATTTTTTTCAAATCAGAATAGTAAGATAAAAATGGAAGGAACTTCTTTGAAAGGAATCAATTTGACAAAAAGGGAATGGAATAAGGGGCTTCTTAACCATGTCAGTATAATGACTGCAAACTGCAATAGGAAAGGACCTGCTTAAGCAAAAATGTGAACAATAAACCTCTCCTGGACCCTTCCTTCATAATGACTTTTATCCAAGAATTTGTCACTTTGTCCACAAAACTATCATTGTTCTTTGCATAAAATTTCATTTGAATTGCCAAGTTGGGCTTCCTAATCATTCATAATAAAATAGCTTGTTGAGAGGACACAAAGAAACAAAATGTGTAATATATCTTGCCTTTTTAAAAAGATTTTGAATCAGACCATGTAATGATTCATCAAAAAGCAGGTGCACTAAAAATATAATCTGCTTGACATGGATACTGAATGGTTGGGAGTAGTTACTCATGATTCACTGGAGCATGGTAGAATATGTCAACTGTGGTTTCATAGGAGTTGGTTCTGTGTCTGTTTGTTTTGGATGAAATAGAAAATGTGCTCATTGTACAAGAGACATCAGCTGAAGTGTCAGCAAGTAACACATTACAAGGATGTACACAGGACTACATTTTATATGATAATGATGAAATGGAAAGTTTTTCATGGAAAAACAAACTACAGAACTGGGTATAAAAGAGCAATTGCTGGGCCGGCCCGGTGGCGCACTGGATAAGTGCGCCGCTTGGGAAGCGCGGTGGCGCTCCCGCCCGAGGGTTCGGATCCCACATACGGACCGGTTCCCACTCACTGGCTGAGCGAGGCGCGGGAGCGACACCGAGGGTTGCAGTCCCGTTGCCGGTCCCCGGTCCGGTGCGGGGGCGACACTGAGGGTTGCGATCCGTTGCCAGACACGGAAAAAGACAAAAGAAAAAAAAAAAAAAAAAAAAAAAGAGCAATTGCTTTGGTTCAAATGCCACATGGTACGTGACAGATTGTGTGAAAAGGTGGCAGGGTGAGCCTCATGTCACAGCAGAACATTATTTTTCATGGAACATAAATATGATCATGATTCTGTTCCAATGATGTTTTAAAATCAAACTTAAAGCAGGATGTGAGTGGAAATATAAACCTGCAAGGAATTCCACTCATCCTTACTGATTCATGCGTCACTCCCTCAGCAGAAAACAGCATCACGCTCCATAACTGAAGAATGATGTAGAAATTTTGGAGAAGATTTAGAACACAAAAGTAGACTCTGCAGAGAATAAGCTATATTAAGAAGGGTTAAACATACCTATTATTTAGTATAGAGAAAAAAAAAAGGAATGAGAAATTTGTAATATTGAGGAAGCGGGAGGTTTTACACCAAGCATGATTATCAGCTATTCCCCATTGCCTGGCTAGGCAGAAAAATAGGAATTAGGCACTGGCTTTGAGGTGGTGTGTGGGATATGCCTTGTTAAACCCATAAACAATCACACAAGCATGGGATCTGCTTTCTGGAGGTCTTCACTCAGACTAGTATCTGGTGGGCTGAGTTAGTTATGTGCACATCTGAAGGAGGAGGCAGGCTCCCTACCTTCCATACCAATGAGGTGAGTACGGTGAGAGTGTGATCAGTGAAATCAAATGCGAGCCATGACCTTACCAGAGTTTCCTAAAAGCAAATGGAAATAGGTTGTTCTTTTTCCTTCTTGTGCTTGTTTGTATTTCCTTCTTCTAAATAAAACCTACAAAATACAACTTCTCCTATGTCAGCAACAAAATCTGTCCTCTTTGAGTTGTCTAAGGTTGAAAACCAAAAGCTGAGAAACTGACTCCTAGGATTTTTGAGGCTTTTGTTTTGATAGCAGATATTCTAGCAAGAGAAATGTCTGCTACACTGCATGTCCCTGCCTTTAAAAAAATTTCCCTACAAATGGCCCAATTTAATGGTTTCTCCTGGTCCCTGTGCACTCAATAAGTGATGATGTTGACAAATAGAGTAATGAAACTGCACAACTAGAAACTGCTGGTGAATGATGTCAGTGAGGCATAGTACCCACTAAGTAATAATTTCATTCTTGAGCCTTAAACACCTGATCACAGGCCTAATAAAGAAGAAATAGAAGACTATGAAAAGATCCCCCCCTAAGAGAAAGACCCTCCAGGTCAAAATCAATAAGAGCATTTGGGACCTCTAGTATGGAATAACTTGCAACTTCTTATATGCTAATCAGGCCACGCATGTGAGAACAGCATGTGATGGAGGATTCAGAAGCAGCTGGGTAATCAGCATGTGCACACAACTGTTTTTGATATGGTTAAAGACCCTACATATCCTAAATTTTCCCAGTAATAGTAAAATACAGAAATGGATTGTATACAAAATAGTGATAAAGATATGAAGATATAAGTCATTGTTTAGGGGGTCATTGTTTAGTTATTATATTAGTCATTGTTTATCTTTTTAAAATATAATCTTAGCAGTTTCAATGATTTTTCCTGTTTTAAAAGTTTGATATATTTTAAGACAAGACTGATTTTTATTTTTGCTCTTTTTTCCTCTATAGAGTAACGTATCTATGCTCAAACAAGAGGTCCAGTGAATTTTTTAAACACCTATCCTGTAGTAGGCATATTTGCACTTTACATTCAGGGATCTAATGCATTATTATAAAATAATACATTTTGTGACTCAGCTTAATTTTCCCCCTGTGATGACCATACTGTGCTGTGGTCAGTTATGTGAACTTAGTCTAGATAGCTGACAGTCAGTGGATGGAAGTATACATGGCACCAAATTTGTTTTTGCTGGTTCATGTCAAAACAAAGGAGCTTTGTGCGGTTATGGAACTTCCACTTACACTTTAAATGCAGAATTCATATATCCTTTACCCTATTCACAATCCTCTCTCACATATCTGCTTTGTGGGGGATAGCATTAAGAGACTGAGTGGTGAACACAAATCCCAATTCACTTTAATGAACAATTCACCCCTGAGGTTTATATAAACAGCTCTAAGGATACAATCACACTAATCAGTACTGGTTTCACTTATGGACTTATTATATATATATTTTAATAGATGTGTGTGTGTGTGTGTGTGTGTGTGTGTGTGTGTGCGTGTGTGTGAAGAAAAAGGTCTGACTTTATGCAAGTCTGCCTTCTTGGCTGCACCGAATGCTGGCAGCCCTGCCTGGCCTTCGAACTAAGGGCAGCAATTACTAAGCTGTCCTGATTCAATGGACTCAATCACACAAAATGCACTTCATCTGTACCTTAAGGCTTGTGACAGTTGTCTCAACCCTCTCCTCAAATGATTTGAAAGTAGGAGAATTCCTAAAATAACAAAAAGAGAGAGGTCAGCTCCAAAGCCCTAGCTGTCTTAGCAACCATGCTGTTTGGTTTTCTGTTATTTGTAAACATCGCCTCTGCAGCAGAGCTGGCTGTCAGTTTGCCACCTACACCAACCATGTTGCAAAATATATTTCACTTCTGCTAGGTTAGGTCCAGAAATCATAACCTGGCATGAGATTTTCCAAGTAAAATGGTCAGATACTCAACTGCAGACTAAATAATACAGCATTTGACAGCAATACAACTATAGTAATTCTGTGGTACACTGTAAATCATTTCCAATCAGTCAATGAAGTGAGTGATAGTTTAATTTTTCATTTACCAACTAATTGCTTCTATCATGACACTCTTCTTCCCAACTCAGTTTTTTTGTAAGCAATGACGAATCTGTCTGAAGAAAGTCATGTTGAGTTTTTCCACTTGGAATTTTAAAGTTATTTATTTCAGCAAATGTGAGACAAGACAGAAATAGCTCAAGGAAAAAAAAAAAGTTCGTAAGTTTTTCCTTTTCCATGCCTTAAAAAGTAATCATTTGACAACTTCCATGAAGCGGTATTTGTGAAAGTCAATGCTTTTATTATTTTAAGTTGAAATATACCCATTACCTGATCAAAATAGTATAATTAGCAACTATTATTTTTCCTCCTAAAGAGGAGATAGCTGTTCATTCTCTTACCAGACAGAACCTATGGTATTTTATTTATAAGACTCATTCACTGTGTTAAATCATCTACATACCATCTTGTTGCTTTAAGCATTAAATACTTCATTTGGTGCTTTCTGGTTTCCTATATTGGATTTGGCCACAGGACTTGACAGTTTAATGACATCATCACCATGAAAAATATCACCAAGTCCAAATAAAGAAACAGGGACTGAACTAAATGTATCTTAAATCTTGTATCCATGTCAGCTTTCAGTAGCAATGACTGCCATCGGGTCATATAATTCAACTAAATGTTACTATACTTGATAAGACACTTGTTATTCTCTCTCGAGTGCAGAAAAGTAAAATAAGAGGAATTGCATAGAGGAACTTTACAAGGGTAAATGGCGATGGGTTTCATTGTGTGGTGTGGGGTGAAGCATGGCCCTGATACTGTCAAGAGGCGACTAGCACAGAGAATATGTTTTTGAGTGAATTCGGCTTTGTAGGGTATTATCTCCTGAGTCTTTGATGCTCCACGTGGTCAGAAATGCACCTGCATTCAGGCCGTATGGATGAACAGCGGTGAGTCTAGAGGACCCAGGCATGGCATCATACCTCGTATGACTCAAACATGAATCAAATTCCCATGAGTAATCAACCCTCCATTATACCTCTGTTTGACGATGAAATATTTATGTAATTACCTTTGAATGACTCAAAAGTATATATTTATTCCCACTTCACTTCCTCTGCAGGCTTTATCTAGCCAACCCTGCTCACATGACTGCCTGTCATCCATCAGTTACAGATCCACAGTGGGTAGATGGTCAAGCCTAGTGGTCCATGATAACATGTTACCTGAGTAAACTCATTCTTTTAAAAAAAGGTAATTTCAGGCGAGCTTATGCAGACTGCATTTGGCCCATAAGAGAATAGATGGATTCCTGGTTCACAGAGCAAAACCATGTTAATTTTTTGCAAACCTGCTTTGGACACCTACACTTACAACTTAATGAGTAAAGGATCTCAGAGCCTCAGGCTGCATTACTCAATTTGGGTGTTCTTAAGCCATTCGAAGAGGAACTAAGCAATCTTGAGTCTATACTCCCTATTAACCACCAAATACAGAAATCCAAATACTGTGGTCAAATTTCCAAATCAACCAATTAACCAAATAACCCCAGTGTAGAAGAGACTTCATCAGACACACTAGAACAGACATCCTTCTAATTAATTACACTAGAATGTATGCTGGAGAACACGGAGAAACTGTTTAATCAGATTTAATCATATCATGTATGAGTACAAACTTTCAGCACTGCAAGTGACCCTAGAAAGATCTTGACTGATGTCAAACTACTTAAAGCAACTGAATCCCCACTATAATGTACTCAAACCATAGTATAAAGCAGGTAGAAGAGGCATAGTTCTGACTGAAGTGGGGGAAGATTCCAGAGGCTTAATCTTCTCCTACTACCTATGGCAACCAAGGCAGCTCTAGGGCCCTGGGAGCACCTTGGGAAGAGCAACAAATCTGGCTCTAGCCTCTTATTTTAAATATGATGAAACTGATTACACTGAGGTGACTTTCCCAAGGCTGCAAAGTTAATGCTCAGCAGAGCTGGGCTACAACCTGCATCTTCTGATTCCGAACCTAACATTCATTACATTCCTGTATCCTCTATTACAATTAGTTTGATTTTTAACTAATTCTGTCACTAAGCCATGCAAACTTGAAGCTGGCAACATCTTTCTTATAAGTCTTCTTCCAGCCAGTAATTTTAATGACATCTGATTGTTCAACAGACATCTCCCCTTAATATCTGCTTTGAAAGTCCTAATAATATCTTTTCTAGAACTATAGCTCTTAGTCTCCTATCCTTTCATTTAAACTTTCTCCTAGGCTTGCATTTAATTCTGCTGAAATAAGAAATGTATTTCCACCTTTGCAAGTGTCCTCAGAATGTTACACAGGCCCTGTGCTAAGTGCTTTACACAGATTGCTTTGTTTATGCCTCAAAACAACCATACGAGGGAGGCCTTATTTCTTGCAATGTGCAAATAAGAGACTGGAAATGGAGATAGGTTAAGACACAGGAAAGGCTGAACTTAAACCAGTGTCTGGTCAAAAGTCCAACCTATTACACTATACTTCTACAGAATTGTCAGCTTTTTCTTCTGAAGACCATTAGAGAGCAGAATGAGTCAGGTCACAGCACCACAGCAATTTCCTTTCAGAGAAAGGAGGAAAAAAACCCACAAGTAAATATTGATATGGTAGCACTTTGAACACATTCTATATTAATGTTATGTAAAATATTTTATACACATTACCTCATAGCAGGCATACTTATGGAATGGCGAATGGAGTAGCTTCAGGGCAAAAGCAGATTAAAGAAAAAAAGAAAGAAAAAAGAAGATAGTACAATATAAGTACATGAGAAACTCCCTATTCATAGTTCTAAAACAGCAATTTCAATTATCTGAAGTATTCTCTGCCCACCCAACCAAGATGATATTTGTTTTCTTGGGTATAACAGGCCACAGTCAGCTTCCACAGGTATAAAGGAAGAATAGATGGCTCATGGTTTCATATTACATGTTACTTCCTGTAGGCTCCCTGTGCCAGGAAATCTGAGAATGTCTGGTGTTCCCCTGGTGAGCCCAACAGCCCATGGGCATCCTCTCCAGGTCCAGCCTGGGTTTCCACTCCCTTCTCCTGCTCAGGAAGACAGTAAGGAGCAGAGGGCAGTATCCAAGAAGTACAGGCAGGAAGGTAGAGAATCGTTCCATTGTAGAGAAACTGTTCAGAGGAATGTGCATAGCTAACATAAGACATTCAAGCAAGTACACACCAGGCAAACACAGCTCACACAGGCCAACATGGGGCAGGGACTTCTGCATCCATCCGGTTTGCTTGTCAACAACATCTGGTATGACTATAAACATTCCTGAGACTTTTAAGTTTTCTCATCTTATACTCCTATATTAGCCGACCCATCTCCCCTTTGATTGATTGCCTGTTATATTGTCTTATTCAGAAATCAGGCTGGGCGGGAGGAGGAATCAAAATGGCGCCCACTTTCCTGGGCTAGTACTTGCACCCCCTCACACTTTCCAACACGTTCTCTGCTTTCTCCTGTCCCAAGAACCTAACCCTTCCCCGACCATATCCAGTGAGGTCCTTAGTATGTGCAGCATGTTACTAAAACACAAGAAGAAAAAAACCAATGAAATTCAGGGGATACTTATGGTCTTACCCTGGACACTATTTAGAAAAATATTTCCTCATAAATTACATTTAAAAAGCATCACTAAAAGAAATTTATTAGCATTACCAATCTGCTCATCTCTTTAAATATAGGCAGTTTTCTTGGGGAAAAAACTAAAAAAAAAAAAAAAAAAAAGAAGAAGAAGAAGAAGGCATAATTCAGAGGCCTGGGGCTGACAATTGCAGACTTGTAGAGGATTCTTAAAGCAAATGTACTTCACAGGGCCTGGTTTTCCAAAGCCTTGCAGTTTCAAATATTGACCTTGAGGAGGACTGGAAATTTTCCTCAGGCTATAAAGTCTCTGGTGTAAGATAAAGATTTCTGGCACAGCAAGGTTGCTGGCTCAAGGACAGACTAGTTACTGATTGTTATGTAAAGATACTGAGAAATTGCTGTAAGAGCACTTAATTGTCTAATGGAATGTCATCTGCCTTGTTTCACTGAAAGTTACCAGCCTATATTGTTAAACTATAATCCCACCTATGTCTCTTCCTGTAACTTCCTGGTCTGGAAAATAAATGCAGGAAGAGAACCTCAATTTGGGGTTAATTCCCCAAGGAAGGGATACCTCTCGCTTGAGGGTTTCAGGAGAGATTAACCACTTCAGGAAGTGCTTGCAAGAGATGGGCTTTGAGAAATCCTTTGAAGCTCCATCACCCAGAGGAAGTGGGGTGACAAATCCGTGGGGGGCAAAGAAACACAGACTTCTTAATATATGTGCTTTCCCAGTAATCTTTCTTCCCTCCAACTTCAAAAGGTACAGAAAGTTGAAGGTGATAGACAGGCACAAGTAACAGTTATGAGAAATGCAGAGAAACAACAATCTAGAGAAAATAATTTTCTACTTCTCAACTTTACTTTCTAGAAGTTTTATAAAAATACACAACTCTCAATTTCCAGTTTCCTTTTTGTTCTTCTTTCAATTCTATGGACCTCTGCCAATGTAGGAAGAAATGATGAAGAAAAAGAGATTCCTAAAAGATTACTCAGCAAGTAAAATTGGTATGAATGATTCAGAAATGAGGTAAATATGTATTTATATAAATTCAAATATATTAGATGCCGTGTGATCTTTCTTCCTGATCGTGAACACACTCTGGAAAATAGAGTCTAGTTTTTTGGTTGAGGAACAGTGTGAGAGAAACAGGGAGCTCTGGGAAGTGAGGGAGCAGCCAGGGAGCTGGCAGAGCCCCCCGCAGCCAGGCCAGCACTTACCCGATGGAGTGAGACCTGCAGCCAGCAGCACAGGAGAGAAAAGCAGGAGAGAGTTAGCAGAGAGCAGGCAATGTCCCCTTTCAAGAGCCCCAAAGCAAAGAGGAGGTAACTCCATCCATCACTCTTATTTTAAGTACACTGACTTTTTTACGTCTTCCAGATTACTTTAGCAACTTGTTATATGTTTTGCTTCTAACTGTTATTTCCATGGATATACAGCCATGATTGGACTCTCTAATAAAACTACATGCCTCCCCCAAACATTTTGTCCCTACTGGATCACAGTTACAACAGACTCATGGAGAAGTTCCAAAAAGATGCCGGTATTATTATAAAAATGATTTCAACAGCTTGCATTTCTTCAGTTACTTTCCTAAATGTGACCTCTTTTAACTGTACAAGAAACCTTTTATTTAGCGGGTATGAACAATGTCATTTTACAGATGGAGGAAGAGACTGGGCAATTCCATGACTGGGCCAAAGTGAATCCACTTAATGGCATCAGGATAAAAAGAGAATCTTATATAGCTGGAGAAATACAACTTATTTTTACAAAGCATATAAATTAAATCCTAACATAGTGCTTTTCGTTCAGTTATTAAAAGGCCCAAATTCGAGGTTTTCAAAATCTGTACGTATTAGTTTGGAATTTCTTTTAAAAAAAACTGAGAGGTACTGTTTTTCTTCCAAAGCATCTGAATTTTGCTGGCAATCTTTTTCAACAAGTTCATAAATTTGTTTGCAGAATGCACAAGAAAATTTTAAAGTGTAACTAACAAAAATATAGAAGAATATGGTACTTTTAATCAAAAAGGGGCTTAAAATAAAATGTCTGTGGTAAAATTTTAACATTTCCTCACTATCATTTTATATTTGTTTATTTTTTGGTTTTTTTGGCAGCTGGGCAGTACAGGGATTGAACCCTGGAACTTGATGTTATCAGCCCCAGGATCATTTTATAAATTGACACATTAATTTGAAGAAAAAAGCAAAACTTACTAATTTTTCTCATTTAAGAGTCTTTAATTAGTAAACTTAATCAATTTAAAAATGACTTTTATGTATATTACTTATTGTAGCATAATTTAAAACTAAAAATTCTTTGCAAAACTTACTACTTTCAAAGGGAGTTATCCTCATTTATATACTGATGTTAGACATTATAGTTTGAGAAAAATATAAAAATATAAAATATTACATAAAAATACAGCTCTAAATTTTTCAAACACTAAGAAATATTTCAGGACTGTAATTAAGTCTCTAGTAACACAGGCTGCATTTTCCAATATTTTTAGTCACACTTTATAATGAAAGTGTTGTCTCCTCTATATGGGGAAATAATCGATAAAAAGTTTGGAACTCTGAGGAAATAGGTTATCCATTATGCTAAAACAAAAGCAAATTGACACAGAAGGAAAGGCAGTCAACACAGCCTTGATATTATACCCAATTATATATGAACATGACTATGTCAACTTATTCCTTGCACATGTGCAACACAGTCTTCATTCTTCACTACTTAGAAAAACAATGAATGGAGCCTTTATGAAATGCAGTGGGTTCCTGGTAATGGACTCTCCCTAATTTCCATCATGTGGGGTCACCTTGTAACTGAGACAGTCACTTAGTAAAGATAAAAACTAGCATTTATGGAGTGTGTAATACATGCCGGGTTCTCTTCTACTACTTTTATAACAACCCAATGATGTAGTTAGTGTTATCTCCATTTTATAAATGAGAACACTCAGGTACAGGTGAGCTAAGTTAAATCTGTTCTCCTCATAACCTGACCACCTGAAGCCAAATCACCTAGGAGGTTGTTACAAATGCAGATTCCTTGATGGGACCACCCAAGACCCACTGAGGCACAATCTCTGCAAGGAGCAATCTGGGAACATGTATTTTAAACAGGCTTCAGAGGTGCTTGTAAGGTCCTCTAAAGATGGAGAAACACTATTCTATTTGGCAGTATTATGCTGAGATCCCAGAGCTCAAGTAAAAGATTTCAACAAGAAGGTAAAGAATTTTATAAACATGGCAAAATATACTTTCTCAGATACAAGTAACAGAATCTTTGCTGTTTTAAAGGATTATTTAATTATTTCAGATAAATGTTTTTAATGCCATTGAAATTGCTGCAAATTTTATTTGTAATAAAATTTATTTATTTTATTTGTAATAAAATTAGAAGTAATTAATGATCCAGGAGATTTACCTGTTCACCACATGCTGCCTCTGAAGAATTTCGAGAGCTTTTTGTTATTTCAGTATTAGTAAAAATTAAGATAAAACAATGTGCTCAGATATATGCATACGTCCTTACTTAACTCTAGCCTCGTGAATGCATAGTTAAGATGGTGCATGAAATATTGGGCACAATCCAGCAGTTTATGAAGCCAAAAAATAATCTAAACATTAAGATATAAATATTTGCCTCTAGGTATCAAAGTTGAAGGGTAATAAAGTAATAGTTTAAGAATCCAGTAAAATAAGTACATACAGATTTTTAAAAAAAATTTTAAACAATGAATTTGATTTCTAGAGAGAAAAATAAAACTGATTTCTAAAGAAAAGTCTCCCAAAGCATATCAGTCAAACTCAAAATAAACTATGATAGGTCTTTAAACAAGCATAAACTATGAGAGCCATAACTCTCTGTACAGTAACTTCCTTGTACATAACATAAAAAATAAAAATGGCAAACAGTACATTTTTTTTCTGGTAACTACAGTGAAAACATTTGGTTCTTAGCTCAAAAATCTACCTTGAGGTTCATCCTAGTTTTATGTAACAGAAAAATACTGAAAATAGCCAAAATGTGTATAATACTTATTTAAATGTATTGCTACAGCTATGTATTAGAAGATAATATAGCCTTTAAAAATAAAGGTGAACTAAATATTTATTAATATTTTCACAATATATTGCTAAAGTGAAGAAAGAAAACTACCAGGAGCATAGACCATATTGTATCTACTCAGAATAAAAGAATAAGTCTGTATGTATTTAGCACTGAAAAAATATACTAGATGGATCTATACAAAAGTGTAACCTAGAATAGTTTATCAGAGCATATTTCACTGAATGCATATTTTAATTTATCGTTGTAATTATGTCTAGTAAGATTCAGCATGGGCTGCATTCTTTCGAATCTCTCCTCATTACCCTGTGTCTTCTATTTTCACTACATCAGGTCCTAGTGGGAAGGGCATCTTTGCCCCCTAAGCGACATTTAGGCAGAAAATGTCCCAGTATAAAACTTTGTCTTGGTCACCAATCAATATCAGCCATATAACACTGTCATCCATTAAAATAAAATAAAATAAACACTGTTCCCATGGTTCTTTCGCATAGTACCTCATGTCTCCAAACTTCTTGCTGATGGCCGTCCCCACATTGCTGAAAGCCGCAGTTGCCTTCTGCCCTGCATGACTCAGGGTTTCATGTGTTTTTTTGTACCTAGAAGTAAAACAGAACAGCAGTAAGCAACACAGTTTCTAAATCATGACCTCCCATAAAACATTCATCTTCCTTCTCTCTCCTTACTTTGAAAATGCTCTTTCTAAATAGATTTAGGAAGAAGAGGATTCACAGAAGTTAACTGTTTCCATTGATTATTTGGGGGTGATGGGATGACTTCTGTTCATCAGAGGGAAAGTCAGACTATTACATCTGAATTTGGGAAGAATATACATGTACAAATGAAGATCTGAATGTGCAGTTCTCTCATCACAAGTAATGGAACTACTCACAGAGAGTTAAAGAAATGTATCAGTTCTACAAAGAGACACCTGTCCATGAATGCTCCAGCCACCAAAGTTAACACAGAAGTTAGAAAATGTAGATTTTGAGGAGAAATCTTAAGCATTTACTGTTAATTTGGGTAAAATTAACCAGAAAAAGGTAAAATATAACTAGCTATTTAACTTATTTTTCTAATATTTATAGCTAAGAATAATAAGGGCACATAATCTGAAGATAATATAGTGACCTTTTTTTCTAAACAGTTTTAGGAATACAGTACTGTGGTTATTTGTTATAAGCCTATGTCCTCACTGGACTGTGACAATTTGGGGGCAAGGAAGCCATTCACCTTTATGTCCGCAGTATCTGGCAGAAGGATACAGGAAAAACAATAAATACTAGATGAATGACTGGATGACATCAAAGAGGATGCTCCTGTGACACTGAACTGGGAGTAGTGGCAATAGGAAGAGAGAGAAGTATGGTGGATTGCAGAGACAGAATGGATAGATTTGACAGGAGATTATAAGTGAGAAATAAGAACGAGACAGAAAGATCGTTCTGAGGATGTGACCATGATGAGAGGAAGGACAGTGGTGTTGTCCATAGGGCTGAGAAATTTCTGAGTTAGTTAATAAAGGGGAAAATAGAAGGTCCATAACTTGAGGGAATAAAAAAAATCAGCAAATTTTTTTTGTACAGATTAGAAAAAAACCAAACAAACCCAAAACTCATAATACATATGCTGTCTTCTTTCAATTCATGCTGCTCCAGGTAAGTTCGCTCAAAGCTACCTGAAGCCTGTAACACTTGCACGTATATGGTACCTTTGAGAAGACTTTACATCAGATAAAATTAGTTGTGTGGTAATTTCCCTTATCCCTATACCCCGTCCATCTTCCACAAGTCATCCATCCCTAAATATATTATAAGACTCTAGTGGATGCTTGAAAACAGGCCCCTTGGTCTTCCCTGGGACTGAAATCACTTTATTAATAGGCATTTTATTATTCTCTTCTTGTTAACAGGGTGGAATGAGTCTATAACATAATTAGTACCATATGTTATTTACTTACAAGATGCCTGTCTTTCAGGAAGTGTAAAAAACATATAGATCTAGACTATAAGATCAAATATGCATTTACTGAAGAGACATTTCCTACCAAAATATGGAAAGACCAAGGGGAATAAGGATCAAAGAAGAATCTGGTGACTGGGAGATAATTTGTGTCTTACAGGGGATTGTGGAGTAGAATGGGGAAGGAGGATCCCAGATGGCACTGGATCAGGCAACTAAAGAAAAGTGAGAAGATGCAAGAAATAAACAGCTTTTAGAAAGTGTGCCTATTTTTAATGAGAAGGTACAAAAATACTGGCTTATTCAAATTACAATTTTACTACATGATTTTAGGTTTTAATTATGAAAAAAACCCACATTTTTTGACCACATGAAGCCATGGAATTTCATAAAATGTTATTATCTAACTTGTCATTGATGATAAGGCAGTTAAAATAGTACTAAATGTTAAAGACCAGAAATAAAAACATCGATCATCATTACAAGATTTAAGGTGTGGTCTTGAAATGACACGTGCTGAGAATTCTTCAAAAGAAACTTGCTTCTAAATGGGCTCCCGAAGCAGGATCCTGAACACTGAATTAACCAGGTTCAGAAATAGTCTTTAAAAGCAAGATTTAAATGTAGGTTTTAGTCTTAAAAATAAAAGGACATATTTACAGATAAATAAAAGTCTGGAATTCCTATCCCAGTTATACTTTTAGGATGCTGACAAAGTTTTCACAAAGTAGTAATTGGTCCATGAAACCAGATCTGTGGAAAGTGCATTTAAAAAAATGTAATATGTATATTCTAGAAGTGAGGAGATCACAGCATTACGGGCAGATAAAACGTGTTCTCGCACTATGGACTGGCATTCAGAATTAGGCACATTCTAGGACTCTTTCCACTAACATCACAATTCTGAAAAATGTCAAGAAAAACTTTTTTCCTTTGCAAAAGTTTCACATGAATTTGGTAAGGAAACAGAATACTCCATTAAATGCCCCAAATAGGAGACTAGCATCATCTTTGACATTTCTATTTCTTTTACCCTCCATATCCAATCCATCAGGATACCCTGTTGGTTCATTTCAGCTTTCAAAATAAATCTAGCATCTATTTTCTTACCACCTCCACTGCTCTCTACCTTAGCTCAGTCCACCATCATCACTCACCTGGGCTCTTACAATAGCCTCCTAACTAGTCTCCTTACTTCTACTTTTATCCCGCTGTAGTCCCTTCTCAACACTGCAGCCAGAGGTATCCATCAAAACATGAAGCCAGAGCATGTCACTTCTCTGCTCAAAACCCTTCAGTGGCCCATTTCACTCAGAGTAAAAAGCCAAAGTCCATATGGTGGGCCTTACGATGGCCCCCACTAGCTCTCATCTCCTCTTTTTACTTGCTCATTCTGCTCCAGCCACCTTGACCTCCTTACTGTTCCTGGAACATACCAGGCCCTGTCTGACCTTAGGGCCTCTGCTCCAGCTGTTCTGCTTTGTGATGACATCAAATCTAGTAAAAAAAAAAAAAAAAAAGGGTTGTGTTGTATTGTAAATGTCCCACTTTGAAGAATTAAAAAGGCCTAAGCCTGTACCCTTCAGGAGGCATTGGACAGAGACAGTCCTATCTGGGCCAGAGGTCCTTGGGGCCTTGGCCAAGTGGATACCAGCAGAATGGAGCTGAACTCTGTGGGGAATGGAAGAAATGGAAGTAGAAAAGGGAATCAAGGAAAGCTGAGGGAGGAAAGTCTATCAGGCATCCACCTAGCACTGGCTCTGTACTGCCTGAAAAGTGACTCAAGGGGAACGTGAAGCAATGTTCTATAATGTCTGTGGCCTCTACATGAAGTTAGGACTGACTACTGGGGGGAAAAGGCCTTCTTGTGCTGGTCCTGCATTTCTCCAGGAATTATTTATGATTAAACCAAACATTTGATTTTCTTTAAAGCTATTCCGTGTAGTTTAACTTTATGTATGTATTTTAGAATGCTTTGAAATTTGAGATGAGGTTACTTTTGAATGTCCACGTGTGTGTGTGACATTCTGAATTTGATGGCTTGATTTAAAGACAGCTAGCTAGAAGGAAGTACATACTGTAAGCAATAGATGTTAGCTACACTGTGTTTTAAACACACTTCTATAGCAAAATGGAGGTGGATGTGTTCAGGAATCTAACTGCTTAAGTATGGTATTAGTGCAATTTATATCCCCGCCACGAAAAATGCAACTTTATTTCTATGTGAAATTTCCAAGTTAAAATTCAGTCATATGGATAGTTCAGTGCAGTGTTGCTATGGGTCAAATGTATCCCCCGAAAGCTCATGTGCTGGAAACTTGATCCCCCATGTAAGAGTGTTAAGAGGGTGGGAAATCTAATTACGGTATTTGAAAGGTGGGGCTTTTGAAAGATGATTGGATTGTGAGGACTGTGCCCATATGAATGGATTAATCCATTCATGGAGTAATGTGTTGATGGTTTAATGGACTGTCATGGGCATGGACTGGTGGCTTTCTAAGGAGAGCACATGAAAGAGATCTTGCCATTCTCGCCATGTGATACCCTGGTAGCCATGGGACTCTGCAGAGACTCCCCACCAAGAAGACCCTCCTCATATGTGCCCTCTGGACTTTGGATATCCTAGCCTCTGAAACTGTAAGAAATAAATTTCATTTTCTTATATATTACCCAGTTTCAGGTATTCTGTTATAAGCGACAGATAACTGACTAATACTGGTGTTAAAATGTTAAGACACCTTATTTCTGAGAATTCTTTAATGTCAAATCTGAAGGGCACTAGAGCTCAGTCTCTTCAAATTACACATAGTGAAACTGAGGCACAGAAGAGTCGTGTGACTCCTCAGTGACTAAGGTAAGGCTAGCACCCAGTCCACTGTGCCTCCGTCAATCAGAATGTCTTATTGCCTTGGAGATGGTAGACAATTGAAGGTGAGTTAGGTCAGCTTTCTATAGCTCCAGTGTTCATAAAGGAAATAATAATACTGTATTTCAAGAATTCTAAGATGTACATTTTTTCATGTTTTTATACCTCTTCCCTAGGCCAACCCCCACATTTCTTGAAAACAATTAGTAGCCATTTACACACATTACTCAGAGAGCAGTAATTGAGAGAAAGATTTCAAGGGGGGTAAGCATTATATGTGAGGAAGTAATTTCCAAGAACTAAGTAACCAGGGACTCTGTGAGAAATAGGCCATCGGGCTCACAGTACTTAAAAGCTCTACAGAGCACCACTCACATCATAGTCTAAGTGAGAGTGCCTCAGGAGTTGTGTGCTGCACAGACCTTGTAACTTTATGGGGCACCCTGATTGAATTTGACCTTAACATTGAGTAATATACATCCTTATCCAGAAGCTAGAAGCCTAAGTCTTGAGAAAAGATCCTCCTATCAGGCCACTGGTAACTCCCAGAGAAGCTGGTATATATGCATTTTACTCCCTTTATTATGCTGTGGAATTTGGTACATAATTTGTACTGCTGATACTTAAAATTTTTTTCTACTCTATCATATAAACCTATGTTTAGTAATATTCAAATAATGAAAAACAACTTAAAATACTAATCTTGTGATTGACTTGACAATCTTGTGATTTAAACGGAAATGAGATCTAGCATCTCTTATTTTAAGCTAC